ATATATACATATACATATATATCCATATGGCTTCGAAGTTGAACGTTTTGGAAAACTGGGGGCGGGAGGCAATTAGGAACCATCTGGATATTTGTACGCGTCCACATGCGGGATTGTATAGCGAAAGTGCCAGACCAAAGTGCATCCCCCGTCAAAGAAATCAGGGAGCTTCACGTCGGGGCTACATTGGGAGAGAATCGGGCTGAACACATGTGTGCAGGAGCGATCACGAGGTCATACGGGGTCGTGCACGGGGTTCTCCAGAACATGGGTCCTGTATCGATGGACGGTCTTTCTTCTGGGGTACAGACGGGTCTGTCGCTTTGGAGGAGAAAGCATACCCTGCAACAAAAATCACATTCGGTCCTTCTACGATATCTTAAGCCCTACCAACTCTGCAGAATGTTGTTTCTTTCCCAACATGATCATCCAGTTCTTGTTCTGATTCGGGTAGCTTGTTTTTAGAGGTTCTAGTGATGGGGTTCCTGTCTGTATGCACAGTGAATTTGAACCCCCCCCTCGAAGCTCTCAGATTCAATCTGCGCAGCTGCTGCTGCTACTACTCCGACGACGACTACTACTAGCACCACCTCCACTTCTGTTATTATGACTATTTCTATTTCTGTTATCATCGTTCCTAACTTGTACTCATGTTTTTTCTCATTACTTTTTCTGTTACCCTTTCGAATCGTCTTTGCGATTATTCGAAGGGGCCGGCGAATGATCCAGGCAGCCTTAGTCTCCTTAGCCTCTTACGGCAGAGTGGCTTTAGGGCTTGAGGTTTAGGGTTTAGGGATTAATTGGGGTTTAGGGGGAGTGGACTCTTACAACTATCCCTATATGAGCCATAGTCTAAACTCCTTAAAGGGGGTTATATAAGGGAATATATAAGGGACTACTATAGGGGATATTAAGGGGGATACTAGGAGTTTAGACAGTAGCTCATATGGTTCCTAGACATACCCCTGCTACAGCACCTCGATTCCCTTCCCCATTTCCACTTAAGTAAGTGGACTTTAAAGTCTACACCACAAACATGACCCCTACTTGGAGGTTCATTGTGCTTATAACCTACTTAGTAACTGTAGTTATAACCCCATTATATCTAGCGCAACTGTAGTTATGGGATTTACAATTGGGTTATAACTACAGTTACTAAGTAGGTTATAAGCACAATGAACCTCCAAGTAAGCTTCAACCCGTAAGCCCTCAACCCTAAACCCTCAACCTTACACCGCGGCGGTTCCTCTGCTGAGGCGTGACCCGAAGATCGTTTTGTGGGAAGAGGCACCTGCGCTTGTTCTGGGTGGAGCTGGGGACCCTAAATAGTAGTTTCCATTTTCTTTTCCATTATCCCTATATAACCCCTATATAATCCCATTATAATCCCTATACAACCCCCAATAATAAAACCCATATTATCCCTATACAACCCCCAATAATAAAACCCATTATTATATCTACTTAAGGGTTTAGGGTTCAGGGTTTAAGACTAGACCTGCCCTTTCAGGTAGGCCCTATAAGACGAGTTTGAATAAAAGCAATTCTCAGACCCCCTAAAGGATCCAAAAAACGGAACCCCCCCCAATGGAACCCCCCCGGTATGAGCCCATTACTACATTGGGGAAAGGGATTATTAGGGGGTTCCATTTTTTGGATCCTTTAGGGGGTCTGGGTTTCGGTCATCTTCAAGACAAAGGAATGCATATGTTGAAAATGAGAATGATGAGGGATGTTGTCACATGTGGGTGTTTCCCACAAATTGGGGTAGCTGCCCTTATGTAGATACATACATTTTCCGACCACCAACGGAAGGGACCACCGTTTTAGGAAACCCTCATGTTTGTTTCCCTCCCCTGTATAGGGATTTTAATAGGGGGCCTAATATTAAGGCCCTTGAAGGGAGGGGCTTCATTAATCAGGGGTCCTAAACCTTAAACCCTCTGTCTACATTCGCCTGCATGAGGAAACGGAGAAGGCTGCCTGCTGAGGCGGGGATGATCCTGCTGAAGAGGCGACAAAATACAAACGGTTTAGGGTTTGTAGGGTTTAGGGTCTAAACTCCTTCAAGAGGGTTATATAGGGGGTTATCTCGGGAACTACTATAGGGGTTGTTAGGGGGAAACTAGGAGTTTAGACTATAGCTCATATAAACTGATTGTATAATCACCAGGGTGCTTACCTGAGGTTCGCGGTAATTTCGGGTTTAGCTTTCCAGGGTTCCTTCGCTTTACGGTTTCAGGATTTCGGGTCCGTTTAAGGTTTCCCTTGCGCCTGATAATAGACTTCCTTGACCCTGTAAGCAAATGCCCCCCCGATATACGGTGGATACTAGCAATCCTGCATGACCCTAAGTACCCTAGACCCTGGGTATCATGGTACTGTAGTATGTTAAGGTCATGCAGGATATGTAGTATCAACAGTAGTACCGTGAGTTATGCGGGGGAGTATTCAGAATCAAGGAACATGATTTGTAACCCTAGACCCTAAACCTTCTGAGTGTGAAGCGCAGGAGCTTAGACCTGAACCCTAAGTTTTCAAATGGGGGTTTCCCAAAATTAGGTGTACCTTTTTTGGGGGTCCCTACAATAAGGACTATATTGCTTAGGAGTCTATATAGGGTCCCCCCGATTTTGGGAAAGTACCAAATCCAAACCCTAAATCCTAAATGCTGAACCCTGACTGAAGGCGTGGCAGCAACGTGTGAGTGATTCAACAAGAGGCCATGGAGCAAGGAGGCTCCAGCTGAGGTAAGTTTCAGGTTGGCCGGCACGGCGTGTTCTTGATATGCTCTATATATCCTCAAATATCCTTATACACCCTTTTATACCTTTTATTCCCAGAGTCATTTCATGTATATATATATATATGTTTTTCACAGCTAGTTTGTGCAAGTGTGCTGGTGATGAGGCCGTGCCGCCTTTAGAGAAGTCCAGACATGCGCCAACGGATAGATTTTTTTCATATCTGCTGTGGTGATTGGTTGTTCATTGAGTTTTGTACAAAGATGCGAGGATGCCGGCGGAAAACCAACAGATGCGCTCTGTTTGTGCTTGAAGTCTCTGGCACCACGCTTGGTGCTAAGTAGGGTAGCTACTGATCTGCCCTCAACCCTAAGTTAGGGTTTAGGGTTAACCCTAGACCCAGGTAGATCCCCATGGGCCCTAGATGGAAGAGACCCCATTAAGATATTGTGGGCTTTCTCGTGAATCCCTGGTGAAAGGCCTTCTTGGGGGTGTCTTATTTGGGTCCATTGGGAATCTGGCCTAGTACAAGCCGTCACCTCAACCCCAAACCCCTAAACCCCCTCCCTAAACCCTAAAACCTAAACCCTTAAGCCCTAAACTCAAGCCTCAACAGTGTCCTGGCTCGAGATGATTTCGTAGCTTTGCAGTGGTCCTGGCTTCAGCGTCAAACTTCCGTGCCGAAGTCCAACCTGGGCGCAGACTCCATGGCCGTAGCGTCCCTAGAGCCATTGGGGATGTTGTGGTTTAGGGTTTAGGGTTTAGGGATTAGGGTTTAGGGTTTAGGGTTTAGAGTTGGCGTTTGGGTGCCCCATATGTTAAGACTTAAGACCATAATTCAAAAAAGCGCCCTATGGTATGTTGTCAAAACTGTGACCCTTTTGGGTGCCAGGGACCGCGAAAGGGCTATAATCTCCTCAGCTCCCCCATCATATTGGAGATTCTCAAGAGAGTTTGGACCCGATAGCCCCGCTGAAAAGGCCTAGGACCATCATTGTGTATTTATGTTTTGGGAATCCGAGAACCCCTTTGCATGGCGGTTTGAGTGTTTGGTTGCTTCTTGTAGTCTACTGCTGGCAGCCCAGGGGAGGTGCATGCCTGTCCCACTTTAGTATTCTATTTGGGGATACTATGGAACCCAATGTATTTGGGGATACTATGGAACCCAATGTCGAGTAAGATTATACCCTCCTCTTGGGGTATAGTATTTTATTTAAGGAAAATAATCTTATTGGGTTTAACAACCAAAAAAACGCTACTCACTTGCGAAAGGCAAGATGTCGACTTGGTGAGCTGTTCCACCAATACGTGCAGCAGACGCGGGCCTGTCCCTCGAGTTCTCATCAACTAACTTTGTCCGCGTCATGAAGGTTTCTCTACTGTCCTTAGGAATTGCTTGACATTTTTAATATAGTATAACCCTAAGGAAATATGAAAGATATCATTTTTATTCACTACAGGTGTCAGTTTCTAGCATGATCGCAAATGATGATAATGTCATTCTGAGTGCTGTCGCTATAGTTGCGTCTGCTGCTACAGCCACTGCTCGCATTGTTGCAGGCGCAAAACAGCTTCTCGTCCGTCATCAGCAAGCGCCAGGAGCTTAACCTTGCAAAGCGGAGACAGTCAACGCAGCTACCTGGCAAAGCACGGCAATAGCAAGCATTGACAGTGCCGTTCCAACACTGACGAGGGTACTTAGTTTTGTATCAGCAGCTCCTCTGCTCCTCATCCTCCTTGTGGTCGTGGGTCATTGTCGTGGGTCGTGGTCGTGTTGTTGATGGTGGTGGTGGTGGTGGTGGTGGTGGTGGCGGCGGTGGTGGTGGTGGTGGCGACGGCGGCGGCGGCGGTGGTGGTGGTGGCGGCGGCAGTGGTGGTCATGGTCGTGGTTGTGATTGTTGTCGTGATTGTGGTCGTGGTGGTGGCCGTGGTTGTGGTCGTGGTCGTGGTCGTGGTCGTGGTCGCCACGGCGACGGCGTCGGCCTCGGCGTCGGCGTCGGCGTCGGCGTCGGCGTCGTGGTGGTTGCCTGTGGCGCGCTGATGCTACAAGACTTCCTGACCCTGACGGCTTGATGCAGAGGGAACAACGATATTTCAGTCTACTAGGTCTTGATCGTTTTGGTGGGGGTGGCTATGAGACGAAACCCCAAATGCCAAACCTGCACCCAAAACTCGCAGCCCCAAACTGACGGGATAGGTATCAGCCGTAGTGGTATTAGCCGCTAACAGAGGAAGGCAAGGTGAGAGCTTCAAGTGGAGACCACAACAAAATCAGCCACGGCTCAGGGTTTAAGATTAAAGGGTTTAGGGTTTAGGATTGAGGGTTTAGGGCGTAGGATTGAGGGTTTAGGATTTTGGATTTAAGGTTTAGGGTTTAGCGTTGTTGTAGCCATAACGGAAGAGGGAAGGTCTCGGAATAAGGATGCCTTTTTTTCCCAGGGGGCTAGTGTAAGGGGTTACAGGGGTCGCTAAAAGGATTATACAGGGACTATAGTGCCTCTTAGGTAGATAGAATATGGGATATATGAGGATCTGATTACAATAGGCCTACCCAAAGCCATATCCTATCTGCTTAACGGGGACTACAGTTCGAGAAATACCCAAGGTGTTGTTGTAGATCTAGTGGGGATCCTCAAGACAAGACCGACAAAAGATGTTATGAACATGCAACAAGAGCAACATGCCACTTGTGAGGCTGAGGTTAGCGTTGGCTATGCTCCAACCCCTTTCTTGGTCCCTATACAATCCCCATATTTATAATCCACATGCAATGGTTATATTGCTCCTATATATCCCCGTATAAGCCTCACAAACCCTACGCCGTAAACCCGAACACCTATCTCTGAACCTTAAAACAATAAACCCTAAATTACCCAACCCTAAAAAGCCAAAACCCTAAACTTCTAAAACCGTACGTAAAACCCTCAACCCCTGAACCCTAGACCCGACATGAGCTATAGTCTAAACTCCTGGCATCCCCCTCAATACGCTCTATACTATTCCCCTGTATAACCCCCTTTAAGGAGTTTAGACTATAGCTCACATGCACCCGCCTGTGTATGCTAAGCCTCAACCCTAAACCCTAATCCCCTGAACCCCTAAACCCCTACACTCTAAACCCCTGACCCTAAACCCTAGACCCCTAAACCCTATACCTTCAATCCTAAACCCTAAACCCTAGACCCTAAACCCCAAACCCTCAATCCTAAACCCTAAACCCCCATGTGCATGTTAAGGCCTTCAGTTCCTGCAGTCTAGCGAGAACCTGAAGAGAAGCAGCTTTCAAGCCCGGGATCCCATGGTTCAGATAGGATTTCAGGTTTAGGGTTCAGGGTTTAGGGTTTAGGGCTTCGGGTTTAGGATTTTTTGGTTTAGGGTTTAGGGTTTTGGGCTTTGGGTTTACGGTTTAGGGCTTAGGGTTTAGGGCTTAGGGTTTAGGGCTTAGGGCTTAGGGTTCAGGGGTTAGGGGTTGGGGTTCAGAGCTGCTGGGAATTGCTCGAAGTATTGCCCATACATTCTCCATGGGGCTCACCTAGACCCTGTAATATGAGCTATTGTTTCAACTCTTTTCACGGTGTTTTATAGAGAATGATATAGGGGATTAAACCCCCTAAACCCTAGAACAGGGGTTATTAAGGGGGGTTACTAGGAGTTTAGACTATAGCTCATGTATTCCTGGAAGTGCCTAGTAGTCCACGTTTTTGAGAGAGTCTCATAGAGAGGCAATTGCTGCACTTTTTTCTTGGGCACTTCTTTGCGGAGGTGTGTATGGGATGCACGGCATGTTTTAAAGTTTAGGGCTTCGGCGTTTAGGGCTTCAAGAGCATAGGGTTTATGGTTTGAGACTGCTTGCTTTGGCGACCACATGGGAGCTTCTCGAAAATTCAATACGGAATCTAATCGGGGACCACAGAAGGGGGTTTTTGAGGGCTTTGTTGTTTTGAGAAACTCCTACATTTTTTTTCGAGTGCAGGATTTTGCAGACATGCCTGGCAACCAAGTTCCCGCTGCACCAAAGCGACTGCCACGCCTTCGCCGTAGCGCAGGACCCAACAGAACGGCCTCATAACAGTCGTAGAATTTCTGGGATTTGTGCGATATGGTGCGGATAACCACCTTCCTTTGATAATCACCCCCCCCCCAGCGTTCTACAATAACAAGAGCACCCTACATAGTACCATTCTGTATTAGGGGGAATATTTATGATGAGGGGGGTAGGGTGGTCATGAGAGGGCAGTCATTACTA